AGGGCCCGCGGGGTCGGAGAGCGCAGGAGCGGGGCTGCGGACGTGCCCTACATGGCAGGCTTTAGGACCACAGCGACCGCCATGGATGGCGGCGGCGCGGCCGGAAGCGGCGCGCTGCGCGCCCAGTTCAGATGAGCGCCGGGGAGCCAGGAGAGGGGGAGGAAGCGGGGGCTGTCCCCGCACTCTCAGCCCCAAAGCGGAGGGCCCGCGGGGTCGGAGAGCGCAGGGCACGCTGGCCTCACGGCGGCCCAGGGGCAGGGCGAACCCACAGCCAAGCGGGGGAGCGGGGCTGCGGACGTGCCCTACATGGCAGGCTTTAGGACCACAGCGACCGCCATGGATGGCGGCGGCGCGGCCGGAAGCGGCGCGCTGCGCGCCCAGTTCAGATGAGCGCCGGGGAGCCAGGAGAGGGGGAGGAAGCGGGGGCTGTCCCCGCACTCTCAGCCCCAAAGCGGAGGGCCCGCGGGGTCGGAGAGTGCAGGGCACGCTGGCCTCACGGCGGCCCGGGGGCAGGGCGAACCCGCAGTCAAACGGGGGAGTGGGGCTGCGGACGTGCCCTACAGGGCAGGATCTAGGACTGCGGCAGCGGCGGCAGCGCGGCCCGAAGCGGCGCGCTGTGCGCGCCAGTTGAAAGGAGCACCGGGGAGCCGGGAGAAGCGGGGGCCGTATTAAATCCGACCGCGGGCCGCAATTGGCCCGCGGGCCGGACTTTGGACATGCCTGCTCTATTAGGAATAAATCACCTTTTTCTGTGTCTTTCCTCCAAATACATTCCTTCATAAGGTCGTACCTGTAAATGTTAATGTATGGGACCATGTTGAAACTCTGCTGATGTAAACATTTTGAATCTCCACTTATTTTTCCTTGCCCCTATCAGCTAAGAACTCAAGTAGCTTTGATCACATCTCTCTCTTTTCTTTCTTTTTGTTTGCCTGATTGTAAAAGCAATGGGGCACCTTAAAGACTTAACAAATTTATTAAGGCATAAGCTTTTGTGGGCTCACTTTGTCAGTTGTATGAAATGGAAGCTTCAGTGGGTGCAGGGATTATACATACAGAGATGGGAAAGTTACATCAGTGTTGATGAGGCTAATTAAATCAGGGTGGATGTGGCCCACTTCCAATAGTTGATAAGATGAGAGCACCTAAAAGAAAAAAATACTTTTTGTAATGACCTATCCATTCACAGTCCCTACTCAGATCCAGTCTGATAGTGTCAAGTTTGCATGTGAATTCTAGCTCAACAGTTTTACTCTGCAGTCTGATTTTAAAGTCTTTTTTACTCATATATGGCATCTTTCAAGTCTTTTCCTGTTGTCCAGGAAGGTTGAAGTGCTCTCCTTCTGGTTTTTGTATGTTACCATTCTTGATGTCTCATTTGTGTCCATTTATTCTTTTGCATAGAGGATAATAATAAAAAGAATAAATTGTCACTGATGTAACACTTCCATTTATCTATGTAAGTATAAATCTCTGCCTGCTGAAGCTTCTGCGTGAGACATCTGAAGAAGTGAGCTGCAGACCATGAAAACGTGTATGCCCTAATAAATTTGGTAGTCTTTAAGTTGCCACAAGACTCCTTGTTTGTGCTGAAACAGACTAACACAACTATCTCTCTGAAACTTGCTTGATGGTGACATCTTTGCAGTGTTTCTCCCCAGAATTGATAACTGATCCCTCAGCATTTAGAATGTGAAAACTTTTCTGATTGAAGTGGAGCAGCATAGACAAGCACTGACTTGCGCTCCTCTGTTCAGCAGGGAATGACGTTTAGTGACAGCATGGCAGAGAGAGACTTGACAATGGGAAAGGCTGTGAGCATTATCTTTGTGAATGAAATGCAGAAATTTGATCTTGAGAGCAAACATACCATTCTGAGTTTGTAAAGGGAGGGAGCTTGAGGTATAATGAATCAATGGACTGCTGACAACAGAATCAATAACTATATAAACTAAATGCACATCTCTTTGGTCCTGACAGCATGGCAGAGAGAGACTTGACAATGGGAAAGGCTGTGAGCATTATCTTTGTGAATGAAATGCAGAAATTTGATCTTGAGAGCAAACATACCATTCTGAGTTTGTAAAGGGAGGGAGCTTGAGGTATAATGAATCAATGGACTGCTGACAACAGAATCAATAACTATATAAACTAAATGCACATCTCTTTGGTCCATTATCACCAGAAATAAAAATCCATGAGGTCAAAATGATCTTCTGCTGGTTTCAGTCAACTTTCTTGGTGCTTTAGCCATTATAAGGCAACATAGTCATAGACGCACAACTGGCTTGCCATATATAGGAAGCATTGTCATATAGATTGTCATGATTTATTTCAAATGTGATGATTCATAGTTCATACTTACATGATCTTAGAGCTCACTGCTCAAGAAGTATTACATCTTCTTTAACAAAGTCAGAAAGTGCTAAGTTATCTAACTTTGCAAAGAAGAAACAAGTCTTCTTCTTTGTATTGTCACTTTGCAGGAAGTAGGTGTCAGGAATGTGTGGGACCCACCGGGCTCTGTACCCCCATCTGCAGTCAGATACGACTCTCAGCAAGCAAGTAGAACAGAAGGTTTATTCATTGACAGGGACACAACATAGCAAAGACTTGTTGTTACAGGAACCAGGAGCATTTAGTACAATCCATTTTGGGGACCAGAGCCAGGGCTTTAGGCCCCTGCCTGGCCCCCTAAGCCAGTTAGACTCTCTTCTCCCCAAGGCAGCCAAAAAAACAACTCAGACACCCAGCCACTGTTCCCAGCCCTCTAGGCAGCCTTGCCTCCTCCTTTGTCCTGTTTCCTGGGCCCAAGGTGTTATCTAACTATCACTGGTTGCAACTTTCCCCTAGGGTCAGGTGACAGGATAGCCTGGGCCATTCCCTATGTGCCTTCCCTCAGGAGTTCTCCCCCAAAGATCCCATCTGCCGCTGGGCAACACACATGCTCACTCTCACTCACTACAGAGCAGCACAAGACAGTAGGAATCACATACAGCATAACAAAGCAAACAGTGAACAAAATCCCCACTACGTCACACTAGGTTAAACAAACTGAGAGTGCTAATTTATGGAATAGGATATACTCATGAGTCACATACTCCTCTCTTGTAAAATCTTCTTTGTGTTTTTATGGCACGATACAAAATTCAAGTGTTAAGGGTGCATCTCCTTTCTGTGATGTATTCTAAGCTTGTGGGACATATTCTTATTCACCTACATTAAAAATTAAGGGGAGTAGATTCCCTCACACTGAGCTTGAATGGTTTTTCTGATAGTAGATAACATATTTAGAAAGAGTTATGCCATTATATTTCATGTGTTTCTGGTAGTGTTCGCTTTTGGGTTAAGAGAGTTTTTGCAGCCCGATGTCCATTTGTTTTCCAACCTTTTTCCCCCCTTGGCTTTTTTTTCCCTGAAACTTTTCTCCCTTCCATCACAAATGGCTGGTTAATTGCTCACAATTGGTTAAAGATAAGAAGGGATTCAGCATGTCTTGGGTTTCCAAGTGCAGATTTTTTTTTTTACACATCTGCTGGAAGAATATTGTACACAGCTCAGGTTGGGTTGCGAGGAGGGCCTGAGTAGTTACAGTTCCATGCCTTGTAATGGTTATAATGCCCACTGTGACCCTCCGTTAGCTAAATTTAATTCTTTGAAATCTGAAGCTGACTTCAGAACCATGGTCTGTACTGTTTTTTTTCCTGCTCTTTGAAGAGCCAGATCTTTAAAACTGTATGCACTGAAACTTATCTCCAGTTATAGCTTCATGAGAACAGAGATTCATAGTTCCATTTGGCAATATTGATATTTGACTACTAATTAACTTGTGGTGTTAGAAAGGAAAGGGGGGAAGGGAAACAGAGCCCAAACTAATTCATTTAAGCAGCAATGTGGGAAACAGATGGCTCTTTAAACTAGCACTTCCAGAAATTTTAAGGCTGTAGATAAATCAGATGGTCTGTGATGTTTTTAGTGCAGTGGTGAGGAGACTGTGCATGTTCATGCACGTTTTTATGCATTTGATATTTGTGACCTTGCAAGTGTGTTTTACATTACGTATGGTATTGTAGGAGTGTGTTATGCTAAGGTAACTGTAAAGGCAAAGCACATTCTCCAGTAATTTAATTGTTATAAGACTGAATAGTCTGGCTTTTGGGGGACATTAAATTCTGTTGGTAATGTTATTGGTGTGGTATTTTAGATTAGCAGGTTACCTAAAGTTTCCGATGTCTTGTGCAATTTTTCAATATAAATTCTACTTTAATTTTAAGATACCCTGCAAAGGAGTTATACTGCTGACTGCTTCCTTTTTGTGGTCTTATTGCTCTGCAGCTGTTTAGCTTCAACAGCACTTGATGGTAGTGAAATGGACATATAGGAACTGGATTGATAGGACATCTCAGGCAGATCCTGCAGACCACAATCTGGAACGTGATATGGAGCACAAGCAATTTGGCTCCTACCATGTGGGGACAGAGGTAGGGGGCAGGGAGGAGAAAGAAACATGTAAGGAGAATAGCAGAACCAACTGATATGAAGGTTATTCCAGAGGTATCTGCTAGTTATTTTTACACACAGTACAATCTAAATACCACCAATATTGAATACCTCAGCATATAAGTATATACTCTAGTATATTAGAATCAGATTATCTTTCTTCACTGCCTTATAGGAGAAAAAATTAATGTACAAATTAGGGATGTAAATGCGTTACCATGTAAAACATTAACAGATATAAGCCAGGGTTTATTGGTTAATGTTAATGGTTACATGCAGGCTCTCATCCTGCTCTTGAGGAGCCAGCTGTCACCTGTGCTGTTGCTTCTGATATATGGGGAGTGGCACAGGCTGGCAGGTGGGAGCTGGTACATGCAGGGAGCAGGCTTAGAAGTTGGCTCCCAGGGAGCTGCCCACTTCCCCACAATGCTGCCTTTATCAGAGGCAGTAGTGCAGGGTAGCAGGCAGCTCCCTGGGAGTGGCATGCACCATCTCCTGGGGAGCTGGCTGTGGGTGTGTGTAACCCTGTAACCAATGAGTTTTTCAGCAGTTACATGTTTACACAGTTACCTGAATTTTAACATCTCTAGTGCAAACATATTTTGAGGAAGGTTGTTGCCATTGTTGAGAAATATTGCTTTGTTTACATATACACACTTTAATCTATACACAGTTCATTTCTATTTGAGTATTTAACTTGAAGTCTTTGTTTTACATGACTTGATTCATATGTATCTTATTTAATTTGTGCACTGTCAATGAACAGTAGGATTTTTCCCTTGCAATAACGTTTGGCGTATAATCTTCAACTCTTAATAGTCCAGGAGTTAATTTCACAATACTTAACTTCTTTGAGGCCTCTGATTTGACTGCGAGGTTGTGTGGTATCAAACATTCCCATTTAGGTAATGTGTGGGCAAAAAACTCTGCTGGAATTTTTGTACATGTGTTAGAATTTTTATTAAAAGTAAATGTATCAAAAGTAAATTTAAAAAGTATATTTAGATTATGCTTTTTTAGAGTCAATATTCAATATTTTGATAGTGGTATAAAATACAAGCACAAGAGAACATCATAAAAGTTAAAAGGCAACACATTTAAAACTGGTCAAAGGTAATGCTGTAATCTGTCATTGTGGTAAAAACCTTAGTAAGAGTCAAACATGAATTAAACATTTATATGAATAATACCTGCAGATATCCTATTTTAAGCCTCATCTACACAACAGTCGAACCAATTTTGATTAAATCAGTGGAGTCCCCTTGTGTGAACACTTGTAAATTAGTTGCTTAAATCAGTTCCTTAACAACTGCAGTTGACAGAAGGGAAATCAGTTCTTCTGTTTCAGCATATAAACCATCCATTAGCTGCCTAATATTAGGAAGAACCTTCCCCCATATTCACGCTAGTAACTTAACCCTTATAGGGTTTTACACTTCCCTTTAAGTCTTCTGGTGTGGGGGGATTTTAGAGAAAGTATACTTAACTAGAAAGGTCTTTAATCTCATTTGATATGATCATTCCCCTGATTCTTATAAAAAAGTGTAACGGCTAATATGAAACCCCCAAAATCCATATTGATATGGATTCATATTCACCTGTCTTGAATTATTATTAGCAATCTTCAACACTCAAATGAGGTAGGTTGTTGACTACTGAGAAGCAGTAAACAGTAATTAGGTAAATGGAAAAATTGTGTGAGTTCTTTTTATTATGAATGAGTGATTTCTAGATGTCCCTTCCACTGCCCCATCAGTTTGTGCTTCATTTTAGCAGTTGTTACTACATCATAACATATTGTCTTGCACACTCTGAGATTTCATGGTGAATGAAAACATTTCCATCTTTTATACACTTGCTATCTCATCTTTCACATTGTACAATTTCTTTGACATTCAGGAAGGCAGTGGGTGGAGTGGGTAGCATATTCCCTTTCAGAATATAAAAAAGGTGATAGTATAGATACATTTACTGTAAGCCCAGAAGGATCCACTTTGATCATTTCGTCTGACCTCCTCCTGCATGTTGCAGGCCAGGGAACCTCATCCACCTACTCCTGTATTAGGTCATAACCTCTGGAGAGTTACTGAAGTCCTCAAAACATGATTTAAAGACTCCAATCCATTTACACTAATTTAAACTTGCACTTGACCCTGCCTTGCCCAATGCTACAAAAGGAGAAAAAAACCCAGGGTCTCAGCCATCCCCATCTAGTGTCCCATTGGGGATATTTGGTACTGGTAATCACAGATGGGCTACATGCCATTATAGGTCACCTCTTTATACCGTTCCCTTCACACACTTTACAAGAAAGGTAGGGAACCTTTTTTGCATTGGACCCAATCTGTTAGGGGCTACACAAAAAAGTGAGAAGCAGAAAGAAAAAGAAAACCCACCAAAAAACAAACCCCCAACCTCCACCCTCAGAGATATGGCCCTATAGGATGTTAAATTGCGGTTACCAAGCTAATCATATAATCAATACAATTTGTATCGACTAAATGATTAATTGATAGGACTAATTGAAATCTATTGTCTTGCTGATCCATTCCATCTTCCATGTAGTATTTTTGGTTTATATTAATAACCTATATGAAATGCTTGCTCCTTCAGTTTGGTATGCAGTAGTTCCCTACAAATTTTTCCCCCTTGCTTACAATGCAGGCTTCCGATAACTTCTGCTACTTTGACTTAAAGTAATTTGTAATTTCCTCCACATTTAGATCCATGAGTTCCTTAATCCAATGGATATCTATCACCAAACATGACAATGCTGATTACCCAAGTAATTAATAGAGACAAGAACAGTAAGTTAGCTCACTATGAATGATACCTATATAGTGCATGATATTTTACAGGGAGATTTTTTTCAAGGGCACAGTGGGTCACTGAATGTGAGTGGGATTTGGGAGGAGAATCATTACAAGTAGTAAATGGGCATTGAAAATCTCTTTCATGGATACCAATTTTGTTTTTTTTTCTTTTTACTACAGTATGTTGCTTTTTGGAAAACAGTTGTTACTGTGTGGAGTTTTTTATTTCAAAGAAATAATAAAAAGGTCAGGTCAATTCTGTCTTTATTAAACTTTGACAGCACTTTCATAGCCAGTCATATAGATTTGATAGAATCATTGACTGGTGAAAAATCATCAGTTCTTGAAAGAAAGTAGCAAATTTAAAAGTGTTGAATGATCATTGACCAAATGGGACTCAGCAGGTCAATGAGAGCACAGAATTTGGATCTATATTTAGTTATGGTTGCTGGTTGTTTTCAGGCAGGTGACTTTTACTCCTCAATGAGAATTTCTCAGTTAGGTTTTGGAATGATGCTTTTATGCTAAAAGCTTGAATGCTCCCATACGTTTGGAAAACTGTTTTTGATCTTGACAAAATATAAGGAATTATGTTTGATGGAGTGTGTATCAGATGCCAAAGGGCTGTTCTGTTTCTGGTTATCTGGCTGTAATATAAACTGTTTGGTTTTTTTACAGTGAAATGAAAAAGTTCATGAAAGTTGGGATAGCAAACATGATTTATTTTCAGTGATAACAGATTATTTGCTTCATATATAACTTTGATGTAAGTTCTGCTAGAAAAGGATGAGGCGGGTTGAAAAAAGGTGGTACACAGTATTTGAACTATATGCTGGTTACTTTCAGAAACATGATTATGCTATTATACCTATCTCATAGAGTGGAAAGGGACCTAGAGAGGCCATTGAGTCCAGTCCCCTGCCCTCACTGGCAGGACCAAGTACCATCCCTGAGAGATTTGCCCCCATCCCTAAATGGCCCTCTCAAGTGTTAAACTCACAACCCTGGGTTTAGCAGGCCCCTGCTCAAGCCACTGAGCTATCCCTCCCCTGATGATAGCATAATGTTAGAAATACCATGTGCTTTTTATGAAAACTACATGCAAAACAGCCCACAGCTCTGATAAAGCCTTGCTATGGTGCAGAAAAATGTTTAAAATAGTAGCATTATGCAGTGTCAAAGGTTTTGGATTGGTGCAAAGGATACTATGTCCCAGTTGTTTTCATAAGATCATTAAAAAGTGTGTGTTAATAGTAACACCATTTCTGCAGTAACTTGGCTTATTAGATTATTTTTACTTAAAAACAAAACTTCCTTGCATGTGAATACTGTAGTTCTCTACTAAAGCACCATCTATGTTTTATGCAACAACTTGACACTGCATAATTCATTATAATTTTTTTTTCACATGGACTCCAGGGAGTCTGCACTGCACCATAAGAGACTAAAAAGGAAAAAGCACTTCATAAGTAGGCTATAGGAGATAGAAGTGTTTTGTGTTTCTTCAGAGAAAAAATATGGGGAAAAAAGTGTGATAATGTCTATGAACAAGTAGGATAGTATCATAGTTTTATTAAACATGTTTGATTACAGTTGGTCATATATTGTGGAGAATTAGGCTTCTATGTTTGTAAAAATAAAGTTGGTGGTTTTCACATTGTTTTGAAGCACGGGATTAATTTCACTAGATAGCCTCATGGTATAGGACAGTGTTTCTTAACCAGTGGTACGAGTACCCTTAGAGGTACTTGAGAGAAGTCTGGGAAGTACACATCAACACGACTGAAATTTGAAGAAAACTGTATTTATCATGGAATTTTTGAACTTTTATATTTGGTTCATTTACCTCTTCTATTTTTTGTTTATAACTTTAAATTATTCATCCTCTCCAGTTCAAAGAAGACAAACAAATCTTTCATAAGAATTTAAAGAAATGCATAATATATCTTCTCCACCCCAAACCTGAATTCTAAGTGATTAAATGTAAATGATTTTTATGATTGGAGTTTGGGGGGATATTGGAATGTCTATTCAGTCTTGCTTCCATGTATTCTTCTAAGAACACCTGCTTACCTCTTCATACTGTTCACTGAGAGTCACAAGCTATGTAATTCTCTAGTGTTGCAAAACAAAACTATGTAGAGCTAACAAGTTCTATCCATTAGTGGTTCTGTTTTGCAAATGTGGTTAGAGACCTATAGATTTTAGTTTTGGTAGTGCCATCCAAATCTGAATGTAGGATTAACAGGTATTAGAAACAACTTTTCCCCTTAATCTAATAGGGTTGTTTCTCCCATATGTATTATTTAGTTACAGTAATGTGTGAATGATAGCTACTGATTTCTCTAAGCTTTTTCTTTCTCAAAACTCAGGATGTGCAAACTTTAAAAATTAATACAGCAGTGAGAGATTATCAGAACCTTGTGAGCTGCAGAATATTGACATAAAAAGAGCCAACTATAGTTATTTTAGACTTTAATACACACAAACATACACTAGTTTAAATGACACAAGTTAATTAAACCAGTGCAAGGACACATTTAATTATGTTTAAACTGGTTATTGTTTAGTTTGCCCTTGTAAATTTACAGGGGCAATTTAATAAGATTTAAACCACATTTAAATCATTTTTAGTGTCTGCATACAAACTTGCCATATTGAATTAAATCGATTTAGAATTACACCGTTTCTTAATTTGTGGCAATTTTTCAAGTGGAGCTGGCCTTATCCCTTAATGAGCATGTCTATCTTGCAGAAACAGTGGGTGCCATCCCAGCATTCATTTATTCCTCTTGTTGTGATTGGTGTCTCTGGAGGCCGAAAACATCAAGATGAAGAATTGCAGCCTGGACTAATAGTCCCTGCAGTGTTCTGTTTCCATCCAGAAGAGCAAGCTGAAACCAAGTGTGAGCTGCTTGATAGAACTCTGTGGGTAGAACTTGGTACTTTGTTAAAGTGATGTACCAAAACTCATCTGTCTTCTTATTTCCTCCAGGATTTCGACTAATTTTTCAAGATAACATTGATTTACACCAAGTCACAGTATTTTAGGGCATTCTTCACAAAACTTTACAGTTCACAGTTCTAGGCAGTGTTTTTGAAAAAAAAATCACATTATGTTTAAAATAAGATTACTGTACATGTAAATAAATGCTCATGTTATTACCGCTGTCTTATATGAGTTTTTCCACTGTAGAAGTTTAACCAAATTCAGTCAGTGTAGCACAAGAGAAAAATGTGTGCTTTGTCCACCTTTAGCAGTGGTCTCTTGGAAGACAGAAATATAACTGGGACAGTCAACAAAAACAGAATGGTTTATTCACAAAACAAGATGAAGTCAAATTGCAGCCATATTTGAATGTTAGCTGCAGCTACATAAGTGTTCTCCTCCTCCCCCACCTTTCTGTATTCATGTACACGTCAATCTCAAAACTGGAAAATTGTTTGTTTTCTTGGAGAATGTTAGGAGCTACAGAAGGATGCAAACACAAACTGACCAGAGCAGAACAGCTCCACTTACCTGAGTAGTGTATGTTATTGGCAACCTCACTTCATGTACCAACACAGCTACCAACTGTGGTACCAATCCTGCAGCCTTTACTCATTTGAGTAGTCCTAGTGCATTCAGGGGGATGATTTACATGAATTAAGGCAAAAGAATTGGATCTCCTTGGGAATAAAATTATATAAACTGTCTTTTCAAATTGATTTTAAAAAAATCCATTGTATCTAAGCCTCAAACAAACATCTAAACCAGCAGTGCAAGACTTGATGTATCCTTCCTCAGACATCATGGAGAAGAACTGTTTATGCCCTGTTACCAGTTACCACTGCTTTTCCAATCAACTAGCACCCTAATTTGCTCTGTTTTCCCATTGAAGCAACAGCAGGTGTCTCAAGCTCAGACACCTTTGTTTACTTCTGGAAAAACAGGAAAAGTCAGAAAGCAGACCAAGGCAATGTAGAAGGTTTCCCTGACTGGAATTCTTCTTTCCAGCCAGTCTGTATTACTTCTGCAGCCTCTTGTTCTGCAGTCACCTGTGGTGTCACTGCACTTGCATGAATGCAGGAGTGCAGTTGAATCTGAAGTGTTCATCATCATGCTTCAGAGCATTCCCTGGGGATCATCACTAGCATAAACAGGAAGGATCCTTTAGAGGAAAAAATAGTCTAGGGAATGAAGATGCTTTGGGCACTTTCTTTCTTCCTGTATCCAGAGCCATGGCCTGGATAATGAGAGAGAGACTAGGTGGTAATATCTTTGATTGGACCAGCTTTTCTTAGTGAGAGACACAAGCATTCAGGATGCACAGAGCTCTTCTTCAGGTCTGGGAAAGGTACTCAGAGTGTCACAGCTAAATGCAATATTAAACAGAGTTTTCATAAAAGGACCTTTGAAGGTGAAGTGGTCCATTAACACCCCTGACTTCACAGGACAAAATGAGGAGTGTGTTTGGGAGACAGTCACCTCTTGTGAAAGCCTCCTGTTGGCTGGCTTCAAACCTTATCAGGTGGGTCTTCAGGGGTTCAGCGCCCTGGCCAAGTCACAAACAGTCAATATGCAGGATAAAAGGTACAGCTGTGCCTGATATTGTGCCCTTGTTAACATTTTTAGACCTGACTCTGTGCTTAGTCCTCAGCTCTTTGTGGACTAGCTTTAATTCCATGCCTGTCATGGTAAAGAGCAGCACCCCCAGGCATTTTTCCCTGGAAAATCTTTGTCTCATCTGTCCCCTTAGCCACTTCATCTTCACCCCTTATGTGATGGACCGGGCTGGGTCTGGGCACCGCTGAGGGCATTGGCTCAGGGCAAATTGCTCAAAACCAGGGCTGCTTACAGCCCTTGACTGGAGAGCTTTCCCAAAATAGGCCACAGATCAGTCACACAGAGCATGTCAACTGCCAAATTAGCCAGCAGGAAGCCTCACGAGCAAAACCCCTCAGACACCCCAGCTCTCCCTGTGCTCAGTCAGCCCCGGGCCTTACACACAGGT